AGCTGCAAAAGTGGAGCAGCCGCAGGGTCGTCTGCTAATGCCCTTGTGAAATAAAGCAGCAGCTGCACTGGCAATAACACACCACAGTGAAGCAGAGGGGTCCCTTGGTTCGAGTCAAGGCTCGTGCCGCCATCCCCAGTAGGGTGCCGATGGCTGGATCCGGAGCCACGTCGGCTGCCTGCCGGCAGATGCCCTCGCTTGGGAGCCAAGGACATTTGCACCAAACTGCCGTCCAACTGGGGACTTCCGTCCTTCCAAGGCACAGTGGAGCGACCCTTTGAGCCCAGCAAGCTCATCCAAGAGCAGCCACCACCAAATCTCCGGCCGAGCGAGCTCATACCAGGACAGGTCGAAAACTCGTCCTTCAGGTAGGCGCAGAACTGGGTCGCAAAACTGTGCTAGTGCGACGGACACTGCCAGCATGGGTGTCAGACAGACGCGAAATGCCATCAGTACAGCGCCGTAACATGAGTGCCCGGTCAGCGAAATCAACCACCTTCACCCCAAAATTCTGCGGACTGAGTTTGACTTCACACGCAGGCAGGGACAGGGGGAGGGAAAGCAAGGTAAGGCAATCGGTGGGGTCAGGTAGTAAATGTTGTAGCGCACTAGCGCAGTCCACTCCCTCGACAGGCCGCTGTTGCTTGCCCCGGGCTTGGTAGCGGCGGAGAGTATCATGCATGCTGCTTCTCGAAGTCGTCCTCGTCTTCTGCCGGTACACACCGGCTAGCAATGGCTGTAACTCCAGGCACTGAGCGACTAGGCGGAGTCTCCACAGCATTCAACAGGGCCGCCACGGAGGCAGCGCAACTTTGACTGCGCAACTCCGCGGTCAACGCAGGATCCTCCTTTGCAGGGACGCCTGCCTCCGGGTCCGGGCGAACCTTTCCCGTCGGATCGTAGAGGGCACGTGGTAGGCCCGTAGTAGCGACCGGTGGCAGCATAACGGTTGCGGAGCTAGAGTGGCGCACCTGTGACGACACGAAACGCTGCAATCTCCCCAGCAGAGTCGTGTTAACAGTATTCGAAGCGGGCACAGCGGCCACCAGCGATTCCCGCGGAGTCGGTTTGGCCTCGACACACAGTCGCAGGCGAATCGAAATACACGTGCTCCCCGATTAAAGACCGATAGTGAATGGAACGGAGCGCACTGTATAATCTTTTGGAAGGAGGCACGCCCACTCCCTTGTGCTCTCGAAGAAGGTGGAAACCAAAACGTGGCGGTGCAGTAAACTCCAGCAGTCCGAAGACTGGGCGATCGGTGTCAATCACCCGGATAGAACGTATCCGGGAGTGTATCGGGGCACTTTTCGTCTGCTCTTTCCGCTTGCGGACATCCCACTGGGTCTGCAAGCACAGCCCTCTCTTTCGATTCAGGCCGCGGGCCTGTTGAATAGTGCACTGTGGCGCCTTCGTGCTGCTGCTACCTCTGATGGATGGGATCTCCGGGCGGTAGTGGCTTATTGGATACGTGGGCCACAAAAGAAGGACTTTTACTTTCCAGTCTGCTTATGGCGCTTCGCGCATTTCGACGCATACTCGAAAGTGATGGTCCTCCTTCACCGGTTGGTCGCCCGGGAAGAGAATCAGGCGCAGGAGCTGCCGGGTGGCGAGCGTCCCTGGGTCAGGTTGGGGCATCCCTGGGCGCAGGAAAGCTGGAGGGCAGCGGCAGATGAGTTCCACAGGGAAGGGGGCCTTTGGACCTGGCCTCCAATTTCCATGTATCCACCGATCTAATGCCACTGCCACATCTGCATGCCCCCGACCCGGATACTCACCAATACTCATTCCGAAGGGACGGAAATCTATCGTGAGGGAAATTACCAGCCGCTCTATCTCTTAAGGGAGAGTCATTTCTCTTCGAGCGGTCGTGACATGCAGCGCTTACTCGACAGCTGGCCGCGCTCAGCGGCGGCTGGCTCTTCTAGTTGACAGTCAGTCTCCATCAGCGTCTATTTCTCTCTCTCGAGCAAGCGACAATTGGGTTTTACTCGGCTTCAGCGTGCTTAGCCGAGGTCGGGCTCAAACGACGTGGGCTGGCAGGCCTCGCCACAATGTCGATGCACCCCTGTTTGGAAGCCGGCCACGCTTGCCAGTGGGCTTTGGAATTGGGCTCTGAAAATTCTTCGAGCGCCCTGCGCAAAAGCTCACGAGCTACTTGCTGGCAACTTAAGAGCACTCGCTCGGGAAATTTCGCAACAACCTGTCCGTCAAATTGACTGACAGCCCTGAAAATTCTTCGAGCGTCCTGCTCACGAGCTGCTCGCAACTCACAAGCTGCTTTGCTTGCAACTCACGAGCACTCGCCGGCCGCCTACGAGCAACGCACGAGCTGCTCCCACGCCCTCCGCGCCGAACGAGCGCGCGTAAGCGCGCGTCGCTCCCAAACAGCTCCGGAGCACGACGGCGCGCCTCCAAAGCGCCTCCGATGCCGCGCGCGCCCGTTTTGCAAGCACTTTAGAGCCCTAAGATCGCGAAGAGCCTCCAGCCCGCAAAATCGACAAGGCCTTCGAAGTATGGAATTCTAGGCTATGTCTCGAAACTAGTCGTAGCCACTACTGGGTGCCCTGGTTGTGACGGAACAATGGGATTAGGCGGTTCATCCTGTCTGTGATCGCTTTCCCCCTGTGGAAGCCGTTGCGACCGACGACATACGTCGTTGAGTCGATTTCACTCTCCATGTCACTCATGCCCTCGATACCACGATGCACCATGACCTTGAGCTCGGACCAGGGCTCTGGTGTGCACGTTCGAGACGGAACGATACACAGGGGCTGCTGAGGCTTCGCAGTTTGAGCCACGCTTCCGTGGTCCAGGCCGTTGGATTGATCTCTTCGGCGGACATCGAACCGTCGTTGTCACGTTCGCCTGTCCATCGTGTTAGTTCACCTCCGAATGGTGTCTTCAATTGCTGCCATGGCCGCCACAACGGTCTGACGATGCTGTGGAAGCGTGTGACCGGCACGTCAATGTCCGCCTTGGCGATCTCTGCCTGTCTTAGCGGCTGACCCAGTGTCCAGCTCACGGCGGGACATTGTTTTGATTCTGCTGGCGGCGGCGGCCAGCGCACTTGCGTGTCGTGCTCGAGCAACTTTGTCACTGGCAGGACTCCGGCAGTATGCCCGAGAGGGTGTGGCCCACACAGGTTGCCAGTGTTGCATCGCCTGCGGCACTGGTTTCGCACTTCTTATCAGGAAGCCGCCCACGCTGCAGTGGGCCTTGGACTTCTGGATTTTGGTGTGCACGATCGTGACGGAACAAAACACAGGTTGTCCGTTGTCTGGCGAGACTAGAACGGCAACCGGAGCCTGGACTTGGCTCCACCTGTTGTTTCAGACAGCTCTGAGCGACGGCTCTATGTTGCTCCTGACCGGTCGCTGAGGCTCCGTAGTTTGTGCTGAACGGCTAACACCGGCGAAGCTGCGCCGCAGCCCTTGTAGAGCTTCGCTTTGCTGTTTCACCGCTTTGTTGTAGTTGATGCTTGGATTGTAGTTTCGCTTGTTTGTAGGGACCGAGTGCTACAGCCGTAGTCGACGAGGCCCAGTCAAGTCAAAAAAAAATGTTTGCAAACGTGGCAGCAACGGCCACCCGCCGATGTCATCAAGAAAATGCTCCTGAACATGACTCTTTCTGTCACGTGCGCCCTGTGGAGGACTTTGTCTGGCGGAAGTCGTTTCCCGCGGAAAGGCGTTTCCGGCCACAGGGTTTGCTTAGTCAGGGGACTCTTCCTGCTCTCTTGTTGCCTTTTCCTTGGTCGAGGCCCACCAAAAAACAGGGAGTCCGATTCTTGCGGTCAGCCACAGGCGGTTTCCAGTAGCAGCCTGGTTCCTTTCAGAGGGCGTTTCCAGCTGGAGGCTTACCACCCAATTCGGCTGATCAGCTGCTTGGAGGAAACTTCTAATTCGATCCAAAAGCATCATCAAAAGGATGGCGGCCAGCATTGTCCACTTCAACGGCTTTCAACTGTAAGAGCTCGAAAAATTTCAGCTGGTTTTTTTTCCAAACGCGGAGATGTCTTTCCACACGTCGCGATCTTTTTTTTTGTTACAACTGCGGTCCAGAAAAAGACTTTGACCTTTTTTCGGCCACAAGTAGGCCATAAAAAAAACAAGTCGGCGCCGAAAAAAAATCAAGTTCTTTGTTGTGTATTACCGAAAGCATCGCGAAGGGTTCTTTTTTGCGGAGCCGGTAAGAGAAGTACATAGATGATGCATCGAGTGAAGTACATAGAGTCGAGCACATAGATGACTTACTAGGACTCTGACTTTGACTCTGTGACTCTATGACTATGACTCTATGTACTTGACTCTGGACCTTCACGCATCATGTTTGTATGATAATTCGGACATCAATGAAATTCTGCGACACTGCTCACTGTTCAGCTTGCAAGCCGCATCAATGTTTAAAAGATATTATATTTTAGTTGCATCAAGCTTTCCGAATCGTTTATGTTCCCCATCAAAAGACTCTCTATCCACACAGTGGTCGTTTTCAGAAGCTACATCCAGACTGCGAGACCGCGCGCACCAAGGTGCTTCGAATGTTTACGATTGACACGTTGCCTCCTGGTACAATCAAGATTCCATTGCGGTGGAAAGTGGCCGGCTTTTCGCTTGGTGTGTGATATTTGCCACATCAGCCTTTTGTTTCGCATTGCGTGGGCAACTGTGCGGAAGCCGCCTTTGGGCATCACTTACTTGTTGCTTTCCGTGTTTGGAATTTTCCAACTGTTGCTTTTTGGCTCCATCTGCAGCAAGAAGATTCGTAGCCGACGCGAAAGCTGGCCCCAAAGAATTCTTCTGCAGCGTGGCTTGGGCTGCAGTGCATTGGAAGACCCATGCTGGAAAAGTAGTTGTGCAAGCTCAGCAGTTGCATTCCTTCGCCATCGTTTCTTGGCACAGGGGTAGGAGGGGTAGGGTTTTCCGCCGAACCACTGCACTCACATTGCTTCAACCACCCCCTGTACGTATGTGTCTTTCACCTCACTTGCTGCAGGAATCATGATGCGACTTCTGGGCGTTTTCGTGGCTGTGGCGGGTGTGGCAGCACAAGGTGATGAAGATTTACGGCTACGTGTTTGGGCCGAAAAGGCACTTCTCCAAACTGAGGTGCATGCAGTGCATGCTGTTGGCATCGCGTGCTGCTTTCTGTTTGTTAGCTGTTGGGTCTTTTGGTGCAGACAAGAATGCTCCGACTTGTTTTGTAATTGTGGTGTCTGCCTAGTGCCATGAGCGGCGTATTCATCATTCCCATGCCAGGTGCAGTGATCAGAGCGTGGAGACACGAGCTGTGTGACCTATCCTGCTTGTCCAAGGTGTCGAAGCTTTGGAGCGTGGCTTGCCTACCTTCAGAATTGCGTCAGAGTAGGAGCTTCAACTGCCAAGGGCCGAGGCTTGCTATACAGAAAGCACTACCGGGGCGCCGGGGAAACGCGGAAAAGCCGGATCGCGAGACTGCCCCTGGCATCTCGAGGTATGCTTCAGGAGCAGCAGGAGCTTTTCTCGGCCCAGACCAATGAATACCGGCATCTTGCCGAGGCCTGGCAGGGCTTTCTCGAAAGGCCCTAGCGGCCCGAGCTCAAGCAGCAAGCATTACATCGGGTGTGCATTCTTAGGACGAGGGAGCTGATTGTGTTCTGTCCTTGGATTCTGGACATGAGCGTTCGGGATGGGTTGATTCCGGCCGACTTGCAACAAACTGGTTCAATTGCAAGTCCACCATTTTTTTCTCTGGCATGGTGCCTGCAGGTAACGCCGAGCATCCACGGAATGTACAGCAACTACACTCGTGCCTACACTGTCCGCGCCTGAGCACGAGGTGATGAGGCCGCCCTGCTCGTGGTCGTCTTGAGGGTTTTGCTGAATCTCAAAGAGATTTTAGGGAAGGCGTGGGAAGAGCCAAGGGCGGGAGCACCCCAGGCTTCGACAAACCAGAACCCCACCCTGAGGCCCTGTGGCTGAGCGTGACAAAATGTATGTTCCATGCTTCTCTGCCAGATGGGCCCCACGCCCTTGCATCAGAGTTGAAGTTCGTGCAGTCCTGCAGTCAAAGCCTAAAGATTCCTTTTTAAGGACATGGAGGCGGTCAAGAGCAACTTGGACCACATCTGGCCCGGAGCCTAACTTCTACCGCTCCGACGCATCTTGGCAGCTACTCTTCTCTGGAGGCTCATCATCTGTGGAGCCATGGTGATGTTCATGCAAGCCGGCTTCGCGATGGTGGAGTCGCTCCCTTGGGGGTTTGAGGGGTCTCGAACGGCACGCATCCGACAGCTCCAAGCCGCCGTGTCGTCAGGTCAGGCTGCTGCCGTGCCAAGAACGCCACTGGGATGCATCGTCCCAAAGCTTCCAGAGCCAGAGCCCGAAACCCTTCGGCCTCTGAGGTGCAAAACATCCTGCTGAAGAACCTGACCGATGCACTGACCCAATCATCACAGAAAGCGTGCGATGACCCGGTCGGCGTCCTGTGGCCTCGGAGTCGGAGAGCGACTCAGGTTTGCATCGGCACCATCGGCTGGTGGATCTCGGGCTGGGCCTTCGCCTATGGCGGGCCAATGCCTCCCAGCAGAAGAGAGGTTTCTTTCTTTTGGAGGTCGAGGAGTCTGGGGGCCTCTGGGGCCTCGAGGGAGTCGCTTTTGATTCCGAGACGAATCTCTGTAGTTTTTTGGCTTTCGAGGCTGTTGGACAGTTGCCACCGATTACACCCGAAGTGTCAAGAGGGCATCAAGGGGGGCCCGCTCAGCGCGAACCCAGGAATGCTGACGGCTTTTTGGACAATGGCTTCATCGGTGCCCTTGCTGCCTTTCATTCTCTCAGCCCTTACTGCGGCCCGCACTTGCAAGCCCTTCCTGGTAATGCCGGCTCTCGCCTGATCAGCTGATCATCGCTCCGCCAAGGAACCGACCAGTTCTTCGGCATTGGTGCCTTAGCCGCAACCGAAGCCTTGAGCGTAGCGCGTAGCTCGGGAAGTCCCAGGGATTGTGAGCTTATGCGCACCGAGGCTTTGTCAACTATGCCGGGGATGGCTTCTCGACAGGCAGCCCATGAGTTTCAGACGCAGAACCGAGGCCAAGCAAGGAACCCTCGCACGATAGTTTGCTCGGCCAAGGAAAGTTCGAGCCCACCACGGGCATGCTCAATTGGTTCTTTCAGTGCCTAGGTTGGCCAAGTTGAAGTGCAGACATGAGTCAGACTTCTTCCAAAAGATGCACCCTCCTGATTTTCGGCATCTCAGGTGGGCCTTCTGCTCCTCGGCTCGAGCCAAGGAGCCGTAAGGAGCCTTGTGGCTGTGCTTCTTCGGGCGCTCAGGCTCGGCAGCCTCCACCATTGTGAGCGGCGGTGTGGCCGAGCGGGTTAACTTCGGTGGTTACTGTCTCTACTCCTTTCTGATGACTGCTGCGGCCTCAGCACAGGCCGACACCAATTGTTCCTTGCTGTCCTTCCTTGTCTCGGAAGGCCTTTGTGTACCCGGTCATTGTCGCATGGACCTGGGGGTACGGATGGCTTGCATCGATCAACAGCGTGGGCTTCACGGCTGCTACTAACCCTGTGTCAGGTTGTCAGCAGCCTCGTCAGTACTAAGGCTTCATGGATTTTGCCGGCAGCGGAGTTGTGCACATGACTGGAGGTGTCGGTGCATTGATGGGGGCCATCATTGCGGGGCCACGCACGGGCCGCTTCACGAATCCAGATGAGTTTGCACCCCACAGTCTTCCCCTCATCACCCTGGGCACCTTCATCCTGTGGTTCGGCTGGTATGGATTCAACTGCGGCTCCACATTGGGCATGAGCGGTGTTTCCTCGGGCTTCATGGCTGCGCAGGTTGCCATGAACACCACCATCGCTGCCGCCACCGGTGGACTTGTTGTCTTCCTGCTGCGCCTGGGAATGACTCGTGGTAAGTACGACATCGGCGGCTTTTGCAACGGCATCCTCGCAGGGTTGGTCTCGATCACAGCTCCATGTGGCAACGTGGAGTGCGGCAGTGCATTCGGCATTGCCATTATTGGTGGCTTGGTCTATCAAGGTGCTTCCTCTCTGTTGAAGTTGGTGAAGGTTGACGACCCCATCGATGCCTTTGCGGTGCATGGTGCCTGCGGCGCATGGGGCGTTATCGCGGCGGCGCTCTTCGATTGGGGCGAGGGCGTCGACTTTCATCACGGCTGGAGTGGCTTCGGATGTGTTGCGGGCGACACCGGCTGCCTGTCGGGTGCCAACGGAGACGGCTTCGCAGCGAACCTTCTGGAGGTCATCATGATCACGCTCTGGTCCGGCTTCTGGAGCCTCGTCTTGTCCAGCCCAGAGCTAGCCTTCAGAGCTGTCATAAGCAATGAGAACCCCCGCAGCTCCCAGGACGGCCCTGATCTTCCTTCCGCTCCGTTTCAGCGGCCGCTTGGGGCAGAATCGCTGATGTTCAGGATTTGGAGGGGCTCGAGCAAACCAGTGGGTGCTCCGATTCACAACTCCAGGACTCTTGTACCACTGGTTTGAGTTGGCGAAAGCTTTGACTTTGTGAATTAATGGACGAGGGGATGGTCCTCAAGAAGATGAACGGTCCGGGTGGTTGTGGGGGAGGGTCCATGAGGGAGCCTGGATCAAAGTGGTTGCGGTAGCAGTAGCAGTAGTAGTACTTTAGTACGAGAAGTAGTCGTCGTCGTCCTCGTCGTGGTCGTCGTCGTCCTCGTCGCGGTCGTAGTAGTCGTAGTAGGTGGTAGGTAGTAAGTAGTGGGTAGTAGTAAGTGGTAGTAGGTAGTAGGTAGTATATAGGCAGTAGGTAGCAGGTAGCAGGTAGCAGGTAAGTAGTAGGTAGTAGGTAGTGTGGTGTAAGTCGTAGGTCGTAGATCGTAGGTGGTCGGTGGCAGGTAGCAGGTAGCAGCTGGTAGGTAGAGTGCAGTAGGTCTTTGGTAGTAGCTAATGGTCAGTGATTATGGACGGTTACGGTAGTACTTTCATTTCGTATGAGTAATGAAGAGCTGGTTGAAGTTCGTAGTTAGTAGTGGTTGGTCTAGTAGCAGTTCGTACTAAATAGTCGTGTTAGCTAGTAGCAGCTAGTAGTTCGTAGTAGTGTTAGTGGCAGTTAGGAGTAGTTAGTGGTAGTTCGTAGTAGTGAGAAGCAGCACGTAGTAGTAGGTAGTCGTAGTTAGTAGTAAGAAGTAGTGCTTAGGAGTAAACAACTGGTAGTTGGAAGTAGTGGGTAGAAGCTGGAAAGGACCGGCCAAAACAAGGGTAAGAGGTAAGTGATTGGAGGTGGTGACAACAGACGTCGTAGCACTCTTAACTAGTTCTAAGTATTCTTACTCCTCGCACCTCCTAACCGTATTGGCCGCACAGGCACCCCCGTCCCTTACTCGTTCTCCCAACTCGTGCCATCAAGTGTGCTTTCATAGTACTATTGCTATAAAGACCACTACAATTTTCGTTGCCCCCGAATGCTTTTCCATCTGGTCCCGTCGCTGTTTTTCGTCAAGAACCTCATCTTGACATCCTAGGTTCTAGCCATGAATTGGAACAGCAACCCAAGCTGCAGTAACAGTGACAGATGGCAATTCATCATCATTGATGATATATTCGGTGACTAGTTCTGTCTTGAGCATACGACTCGAGACGAGAGCAACACTGCAAACAAGAATCTTGATATTAATCAGTCATGAAAAACAAGGACAACAAGACAATGGACGCTCAGGTTTCCTCCGGGTGCCGGACGAGGAAGCCTTGGACGTGTGTTTCGGGGTCTTGGCGTGCCGGGCCGTGGAGCTTGGTTTCCGGGTTTGAGGCCATATGCAATCAGGAACAAGCAACGCAGGCAAGCTGGCCTCAGTGAAGCATAGAACACTGAATGCATAGATGGCAAACACCATTCCGGTCTATGCATGAGGTAAACGTTGGGAAGCATGGTGCGTCTAGGTGGTTTTCTGTTTGCACACGTGCATGCATGAATTCATGGACATACGTTTGTGTGCGTCAGTGCCTTTGCATGTAAGCCTGTACGTGCTTTGAGTGCTTTTGCGTATCTCTGCATGCACGAATGGTCCAAATGTGAAGTTAGTAGGACCTAGTCGTGGCAGCATGTTTGTTCATGCGAGTTTTTGTGTGGATCTACGCTAACTTTGCGTCAGCTACCAGCAGTTGTACGTGCCTTTGGTCGGAAAGGCACATTGGCACAGATTTGTATACATATAGGTAAAGTATGAGGGTAATCATACATCGTACATAGATGTACATATACATGTGTGACTTTGTGTTTTTGCAAACACGTGCATACATGCATGTGTTGCTCATGTAAGGGTAGATGTACATACCGATGTGTTCTGTATGTATATGTATGTCTGCCTTACTGCCTGCCCGCCTGTCCGTATGTTCGTGTAATTGTGTGTCGCTGTGAGTGTTTGTCTGTCTGTCCGTCCGTCCGTCTGCCTGTCTTTGTGTGTGTCTCTTTATCCGTCATCTTGTACACAATCTCAAATGCGTTGTCACAACACCTCAGCCCTGCGACGGACAGGACCAAGACGCAGGCCTGGACGCCGTGAAGCACTCTCCGGCCAAAGCCTACAGCGCGATGCCCAGAGAGGGGAAGAGGGGAAGGTGGGAGTGAGGAAGCTTTCACACCCTCTTGTATCCTGTTTTGAAGGTTGTAAACTAGCATCGCCAGATAACCTGAAAGATGTCGCGTCTAAACCCGATACCAGTAGGTTAATCCCGTATGAATGTATGCATTTGCTAGGTCCTAGGTGTGTATGTGCGTGTGTGCCAATGTTTGCACATAGATATGTTGGAGGTATGTGTGTGAATCTCAGCATTTGGGTTCATGTGAATGTGTGTGAAAATACCGATGTTTGCATTAAGATTGCTACTGATGCTAGCAGGAAGATGGATAAGAAATGCGTATATGCACATAGTGTCAGGTATGCATGCATCTATGTATATTTCACCAGTTAGATGTCTTGTACATCCACAAACAGACTTGCAGACTCATGTTACACACATGGTGTATGAAGAGGTATGTATGTGTAATCAAACTATGTAACTGTTCGTGTCTCCTGTGCAGACGCAGGTATGCACATACACCCAGGACCTGTGCATATATATATATATATATAAATATAAATATATAAATATATAAATAAATATATATATATATACGTACACATAAACATAGTAACATAGACACAGTCATAGGCATAGACATAGACATGGACATCGACAGTACATACATGCACGCATACATGCATGCATGCATTCGATATGGACTTAACAAGGGAACGGGGATTGACTTGTGGATAGACAGACATACTATACTGACATATATCCCAGCTATTCCATAGGCTGCGAAGCTTTGCGACAAGGCATCGAAATCAACACAGGGGTCACGGCTGGAGTCGCTCTCGCTGCTTGGCTTTCAAGCAGACTCATTATTCGGTTTCAATTAGCAGATTCCTGGAGGCTTTGAGGGTAATCGATGGTGAGGCTTCAGGAACGCAGTAGCCCCAGCATAGAGGTTTCGCAGCCTTTTCGATGACATCCAAAATGTGTTGACAGCTTTTATGTGATGCTGCTGGTGGTGCAGCCCAGGTACTAATAGTTCGAGCAACGGTGCAAGAGTGTACCAAGAGCCTCTACTCTAGTTGTGGGGGACTTCCTTTCGTTAGTTTAGATTGCTTGGATGCCAGCGCAGCACAGGGTTTGGGTCCTAATATCGATTCTGCAGAACCTCAAATCTGAACTGCAGTCTCCCGGATGCTCCAGGAGAAGGTTGCACCGTCGCCCGAAAAGCCCGCCATGACTGGCAACGAGGCCTGGCATAGAAGAGATTTAAATGGTCAAAACTCTAGATGAGGTACACGATGCGAACTACGACTCAGCTCGCCTTCAGCATGTGGTCGATGAAGGTAAGAACGGCAAGTCATGCTCGAAGAGTAGAAGCCAAACTAAATAGTGCAGCAATGTGCAGCACAACAACAACTGCCGCCGGGGCCGCTGGTGGCTACCATTCCACCACCACCAGTATCAGTATTCCCATGCAGGGCATGTGTAGTAGCACAACCACTGGTACTCGTGGGAATGTAGCGGGCCACCTGTGATGATCGTACTCCAAACTTTGCTGGTGCTCGTATTGCTAATCCTGCTCATGCTCTACAACCTGACCGGAACAATCCGTAAAAGAGCTGGTGCTGAGAAACAGCGTCCCCGATCGAGAAGCGCGTAGAACCGTAGGATCCTTCTTTTCGTGCAGGCAAGCCCCGCGCCGCCTGCAACGGAGGCCTAAAAAGAGCTCTCCAAAGGCTTCCGAGCCGCTTTGGCCGGAAGGCACTGTGGCTTGGTTGGAAAACTTCTGGCATTACGGTTGAGGGCAGGGTTGCGTGGCGGCGTCTTTTCGAGCAGGTTATGATTTTGCCTCTGGAAAGGGCTTATAGAGTCTTCTGCCCGTTTGCCTGATATCCGGTGTCAGACTGCCGTCCAAGATCGCCGTTGTGCTGCATTGACGATCCCACATCCTCTTGTAGCCTTCTGCGTCTGAGGTGCCCAGATGCGTCCGAGGCGTGCGGCCCCTTTTGTGTGTGGGGTTTCTGTTCCGTCTGCTTGTCCTTGGGGGTCGTGAAGCCAGGATGCAGCTTCGGGTTTCCTCATGGAGTCCCCGAGAGCTTCCGAGCCCCAAAAGTTCCCTCAACATCTCGCGGTCCCAAGCGCCGCGTTGCATCTCGTTGCCCCGTTTCGGTCTTTGAGGCCGGGCTCCTTTGAGCTTCGCCTCGGAGCGCAGGATGCTTTCACATGGCGACGAACCCTTGCCTTTTCTCTTTTCTTCGTTTAGCAGTGGGGCGGAGCACTGGGGAGCGGTCCTCGCCTGAAATAGATCGGAAATGGCAAAAAAGAGAGATTTCGTTGAAGACGAGGTCGGCTTGTTTCTGCCTCCACTGCTGGATCTCAGAGCTCCAAATGGACACCTCTGCAAGACGCCGGACTTTTCCTGCCCTTGCAGGGAGCCCTGCTGTGAGTCTTGAAAGTTTAGGGTTCGAAGAGGAGGTCAAGCAAACGGCCACAGCAGGGCCCCTGCGTGTACCATGAATTCGGTCCTGCGAGGCATCGCATCCGCGATGTGGGAGTTGGAGACTCCTGCCTTGCGAAAATCCCACAAGTTACCCCGAACTCGGGTAGCCATTTGTGGGTTGCAAATCCTGCATCCTTGTATGTATGCCACTCTGAGTTTGCAGGTGGCATGCTCCGAATCCATCTGGGTCCGCAAAATTCAGTACAGTTTCTAATCACTCTCTGTGTATGTGCGGACTATGGTGACCTTGCTTCGGAGACGAGCTATCCGCACTCTGGCACTTCTTTGGCCTCATTCTGGTGAGCCACAGACCGAGACTTCGCATTTATCGGAAAACCTGAAGTCGCGACAAGCCTTTCATGTCAGGCATGGGGCAGCGGTAGTTTATAATTGTCTTCAGGCCCGTTTGGGTTGTGGGACACAGCGGCTCCAACCCATATTAGGCTACCATTGGGGTGCAGAGGGTGCACTTGGCAACAGTACATCTCGACGACACGTGAATCTTTAGCAGCAGCACGAAGACCCTGACTTGCGATGCTGCCGCGATGACGATGAGGCTTGTCCCCGATATGATTTGGCTCGCAGAATCGACTAGGAGAGCACCATCAAACATTGCAGGTGGAAATGCTGGACTCAGAAGCTTGATGCCGTCATGCTTCGATTCAGGCATCAGTCAGCAGTTTCCCAAAGGCCGCCGCAAGAGAGATGGCAATGGAGCCGGTGGCGCAGGAAGTCTTCAAGCAGAGGCTTCCTTTCACGAAGATGCTTGAGGGCAGTGGTAGAGCAGGGATATACCGTCAAACTAGAGCACGTGCATCATGCATGTGCTTGGAGGCTGTACGAGTTAGCGAAGGACAACGAGGCAAAGCAGACCGAGGACGCTTGCGTGCACCAATGCCAAACCAGGCATAGCGACATCCTAAGACCCCTGCAGTACACAGCAAGTCGGAGTTTTTGAACATAAGTATAGTAGCAGTGAGCATACCAGGATCCGCCGTCAAGGGAAGCAGTCACCAGCGGTGATGATGTGTTGGAGGTGGACGGATTCCGCGAGAGAAGGGCCAAGCTTGAGACTTTGATCCTGGTCTGCAGGGCATGCTGAACGACCTGCTCGGAGCCTTGCGACGAGAGGCTCCCATGGATCCCCTGCCGGCGGAGAAGGCCAGACCAGACCCTTTCCGTCCCTTTCCGTCCCCTTCTTTACGTTTCGTTCTCAGGTGGCCGCCATCAAAGCAACGGCGCAGGAGGCCACGGCCACCGGCTCCGGGCCTGCAGAGTCCCAAGGCGAACGGGACGACGGGACGGGGCCACCGACTATACAGATCCTGATGCGCACGTCACGTTGGGGGAGGGGGAGGGGGGGAGGTTTAGATCTGCTGTATTTGCTGTGGAATCTGGGAGCAGGCAGCAATGCTTGAAAGCACTGGTGCCGTTTAATGGAAACATGTCATGTGCTGTGCACGTGGGCGAACCAGTGGAGCTGGCAGATCAGCGTTACCTTTGTGGCGAAAACATGGTTCAACTCGATGGTTTGGATGGTAAGGGTGTTTAGATCGCTGCAGGTCTTGGAAGTCACAGCAAAGTTGTGTTCGCATGTTCCTTTCGCTCTCAAGTTCGGTCTTTAATAACATACTTACAGCGAAGACTTCGTGGTTTTCCCGCCGGCAAGCACCCACGTGATTTGAGGAAAATGTTTCCACTGTGTGATTTAGCCTGGTGTATCCGTGATTCGACCTCAGAGTCAGAGTCAGACCTGCGCGCTCGAGGTCGGCCCGTTTAGGGCTTAGGCCCAGGCGATCAATAATGTACAGTCAACTATGAAACACCGCTTGTCACAGAATGTGGATCAGCCCAACGATCCATGTTTCAATCTTCAGTGCCCCACATAGGTACAACGATTTACAACGTCGGCATGACATCAAAACATTCGCCACTGCATAGAAACCAGCAACTCATCTTTGAGAGTTTGCTAGTTTTCGTGTCCAGGTTCCACCGTCCAGGAATGCAAAGCTCCGCATAAATGAGTCCAATTGCGATGTCGGTCCACCGCCATGCTGGAACTTGCGCTATGTGTTTTGCAACTGTCCAAACGTGTCTAACAAAGTGCTGACTATGTCTCGCATCCAGCTGAAACAACATGCTGTCTGATACGTTCCTTCCAATGATGAAGATTGACATGCCATATCCCAAAACATGTGAGCAGGCGCACCCACAATTTGGCGAACCTGACGGGCCGGCTACAACGATGACCAATGTATGCGCTAGTAAAGTCAACGCTGATTACCCAGACCGGCACGGAGCACGATGGCTAGGAAACGACCTGCTCTGAACCCACGTTGTTCCTCTGGTTGTGCTGCATCAGAACAAGTTTCGATCGGGCGCAGCTACAGTTGCACGACGAAAGCCTCTCTCTCGAGCGGCGCGCCTTGCACCAGCCCCTTGCTGCTTCGCCGGCCCGTCCAGAATGTTCGCCAACTGGTTGGAGATGAGCAAGGCCGGCAGAGGCTCTTCTTCAGCAGCACTCCGCACGCGGGTTTTGCCCTTGCCTTGATTCAAGCGTTTGCGCACACGGCTCCACAGCGTGTCCTCCAAGGCGTCGTGCAGCTCACCCTCTTGTAGCCTCGCCGCCCCACCCTGACGGGGCTCACTAGCAATGTGGCGCCCGCGGATGATCCAGCCACTCTTACTCTGCAGCGGGAAATTTTACGGGAATGGCGATACAAAGCCGGGGCGCCCCCCCCGCCAAAGCAAGCAGTGAGCGAACACGCGGAATACCTGCGCGGCATCCTCCCCTGTCGGGAGGCCTGTGACACGCTATTGTCGCTACCGATGTCCCTCACGGCAGGGTCGATACGCATCAACGTCGACCAATTTGGGTGCGACATCTGCAGCTTCGCTGACACAGAGCTATGCGACTCCGGTGTTGCACGGAGCTGCTTCGCTCAGGGCGGCATGCCGCACTGGGGAGAACTTGCTCGCCTCCGTCGCCTTGCGTCATGTCATGTTCAGAGCTGTTCTCGTCGATCCAGGTGGATACGCTGGCACTGCCATAGATCTGGCGTAAATGGGGCGAGGAAAATGGCAAGAGTCACACGGTTTCTGTCTGGAAGGCATCAGTTTTGGATGCCAGAGCTTCTGAAAAGGCCAAAGCTTTGTAAAAAAGCTAGCAGACAAACAAGTGCAGCAACAATACCCACACGCCTTGAATGACACCCTTCCAAAGCCTTTTAAAAAGAATCACCAAACGAGTACAGCAACAATACCCATATACCTTCAATGACGACGAAGCCTGCAACAGTCCTAAAACCCTAAAGATAAAGTTTTGTTTTGTTCTTGCAGGCGAGGAGGGAATCATCAACTTCGCGTGCGAGTTTGAAAAGACTGGTGTTCCGCATGTGTAAGCTCGTTTCTCTGAAGGCGCGGGACGCAAGCCTGCGTGAAACAGCCTGTGGTGCAGATCTGCGTAACTCAGTCATCGAGTGGGTAGGTGACCAAGCGCCTGAACGTCGTCCACAACCGGTGCTGGTATATATGAAGCCAGTAGGCTTACGCAGCGCCACCATACGCCCAAGCCGCACGGCTGCGAGGACTTGCTCCGGCACGTCTGCGTTAGCCAAGCGCTCGGCAGCTCGACGGCGCGGCGGCCCGTCCGTGAGCCCTTTTAGGAACAGGCGCAGATGCTCGTTGGTGGCACCAAAGCAACACATTCGGCCGACACGAATTCGCAGCTCCTGACAAGGGCACCTGCGGTGCCGGCGGTCGACGGTCGGGGTCCCAACCTCTCTTATAAGGTGTCGGCGGCGTTGCCTAGCGCGTGCGGCGGGGCGGGTCGCAGCTGACAATTCCAACAACCGGCGCTCCTCAGAGGTCGGGAGTCGGGGGCGGGCATCCCTTGCAGGTCTAGTCCCATATCTACTGCAGCGGGCAGCATGCCAGGGGTGAGAAATGAGGAGCGTCCAGCCGCATGCGGCTTCAGCAGAGTCTCCAGCTTCGAATGCTGTGCGCAAGCTTGTGCGGAGATGTGCGGAGAGCAAAGCGCAGCGTGCCACGCAATTTGAGTGGAGCGCCGGAAGGTACACTTGCGCCAACCAGCTCTTGGCTGTGCTGGGGTTGCAACAATGGTTTGAAGACAGAAGAGTGACAGAAACGCACCGGCCGCAGCAGACCCAGTGACCACTTTTGTCGGTGTCTTGGTTGCAGCAGCCACATGCAAATGAGCCGCTGCCTTTCGGAACTGCTGGCCGAAGCATCTGCCCTCCCGCCCAAACCCGTGATGCACCTCGGCAGGGTCGTACGCAACGTGTGTTCAGCATGGCAACCTGCTAGAAGCATGCCTCCATCCAATAGGTTTGGAGCACCCCACTCAGCACAACCGCTTCCACGATGCCCTGCCGATGTCTTCCGTATGGCGTTCGCATTGCCAACCAGTGATCTGGTTGAGTGCATCCCGGCTGATGCATGCTGATGCTGCTCTTGCTAGCGCCGCCTTCGCGGCCCGCGGCCCGCAGCCACGAACAAACAAGAAAACGCCGGGATTCGGTCCACGGTAACGCCACGGCGGCTGCCGCGCGAGGGGGGCCTGCCGGAATTGACGTCCCCACGGAGCTTCACCGTCGCGTGCTTACACTGCAATGACGCGGACATGTCGCCCAGCCGGCCAAAGTCGGCCATGTGGGGTTGCCCGGAGACGTTACGCAACCACTAGGACGGTGCTGCTTTGGTGCCGCCGCAAGTGCGCTGCCTACCCTGAGCTCTTCCGGCGAGGACCACCGAAGCTGTGCGTGCGATACCGGGGCGTGCTGGAACTGCGAAGGCCCACGTCTACCCAACTGCTTGCCAGTCGCTGAACCGCTTGACCCCGATGTAGGCCCGTGGTGTTGGTTGCCTGAAAAAGTCCTCGTCGGGAAAATCAAATTTACTACATCCGGTGATGGAAAAGCGGTACTTGCACACGGCTTGCTCAAGCACGGTGCTAAATTTTTTGTCGAGCACAGCTCTGGTCTCCACAGCACACGGGTGCCCCTGCGCATAGATGCTTCGCAATGCCACCCGAAACCCGCGGCGTGCGCTGCACTTTGCCGCCTGCAGTGGCAGCAAGTGGCAGCTGGGCGTAATGAGGCACCCCACGACACAGTTGCTGTCTCAAGACATGACTCGTAGCTGTTCGTGCCCAACAAAACTATGAGACAAATGACGTGGTGCCGGAACATCTATGCACGCTCCGTCGAACTGCCGGACAACCTGCCGAGGCACGGGACCGTAGCACTTTTCTTGCACAACCGTTTCTGCGAAAGGCCCGTTTCCAACGAGGCCGACAATCATGTCGGTGTGACAAGTCATCGGCCTTTATCAGCCTAGCAATTAAGCTTTACGCAGCACCCTGCGCACGGCCATCACCAGTGGCAGACCGGAGCGGCAAACGACCAAACGAACAAGCCTCCCGCGAGAGTAGTGGCCAGGTCGACCATTTCGTCATAGAACCGCTCGTCGGTCCTCGGCAAACCCACGCCCGAATCAGAGCACTCGTTTTCCTCGTTCCCTGGAACCTCTGGGTCCTTTAACAACCGCTTGTGGCACATGCGGAAACAGAGCTTTGTGCATTCACATGCATTGACCGGGAGATTCCATTAGACATATGCACAAATGCAGAAGCGAACAGGCTTCAGAGATAAGAATCAAGGCTATCGCGTCCGCAAGCCTTCACACGCAGATCTGGCAGTTTGATAGGTGGCTGCGACAAAGTGACAGCAGACAGATTCGTTGGCACGAGACAGGACCAAAAATCCAACACAGCATTTTCAGCATCACAACTTTGTCCCACCTCGTAAACCTAAGCGAACCAGGTGTAGTGCGGATTGTCAGACAGCGGACACACGCGAATGGCATGCAACAGCGTGCTACGAGGTGCCGGGCGCCACTCCCGAAGCAAGTGCCGCAGCAGGACGGCGTTCCTCCAGGTTATCTCGACGGCTTTTCGCACACCAGTGAAAGCACAAATGCACGACCAGCACGCAGCTTCAAAGTCCTTTTTTTCCCTGAGGGACTTCTCACTTTTCGAGCGATGCGCGCGCTGCCCCAGTGCACCTGCAGACTACGGCCGCAGCGGCTCAGCTCGGCGGCAGGCGGGTGGGCAAAGGCGGGCACGCATCGTGCAAGACGTTTTGCAGAGGCGGCTCCTGCGCGCCAGGCAAAGGGGCGTTAGTGTGACCCAAACGGAGCTGCAGCAAGCGCGTTTTGCACAGCAACGCTTAAACGGCACCACCAACGCCTGCACCACCCCTGGGTCGCAGCTCTTCGAAGCGGCAGGTGTCCGCGCGAGCTTTGGCCCTCCGGCCCGACTGCTTCGCGCACGACCCTGATCCAGGCGTGCTCGACTGGTTTGGCTCGGCGGGCGAGCACGACCGTGACGCCGCAGCCGTGTCCACGGGCCCCACATTTGCCCTGTGAAAACCGCTCCCCCGCGCCCGCACAGGCAGCCGCCACTGACCTGGCCCAAGTGCCTCCCTTGTCGGTGCCCTTCACCCAGCATACTAACTCGCGCTTGTACGTGCCTTTGCTGCTCCACGCAACTGGCATGGTTTCGCTTGGGACGCGAGCTGCATGGACCGCCGAGGCTTCCATTGGGGCTTGGTGGCGACGCCAGGTCGAGGCAGCGTCAGCTCGCCCATTCCTCCCTGTGCACTGCCATTGCGTTCGTTTCACAAGCCCGCGGGGACGACCTCAGCCAGTCAGCTCCTTACCAGCGCGTGGTGGCGTGGGCAGCGTCTCGCGCCTCCGGCGCCGAGTCACTCAGCGTCATGCTGCGCGTCCGCGCAATGCCGGCGGAGGGCCACTACTTCCCAGCTGCTGTGCAAGAGGGGTTGCTCACCCTGTTGCTGGGCCACATGGCGCCTCCTCGTTGGAAAGGGATATCCACGCGCTTCGTCAGCCTGGTGCGCTACCGAACCCTTTGCCCCTGCCCAGGGCACCCCCTCGGCTGCCGGCCCATCCTACGCACACAGACGCGCTTGTGCCACACGCCATGCCTGCAGCTTCGACGCCCAGTGGTGGCACCCCGCGACCGCGGGTTGCATTGACAGGCGAGCAAGGGCCCAAGCCGCTGACGACTTCATCGAGGCAGCGCCCCTTCCCACCGACGACAACGCGCTTTCCGGAGCTTCGCAAGGAGGCGCCGGCCACTCCGCCCTTGTTGGCATCACGGCTCTTGCGTGGTCCAGCCTCGATACCGTCGACCTCGCTGCCGACTTCGGCAGACCCATGCATACCATGCAAAGTGTGCCTGTTTTTTTGCGAGCGGGCGTGCGACAAGCGTTCGTCTTCGCCTTGCGAGCTGTACGAGAAGCGTACACGCGCGGTGCGGCCCCCCAGCAGACCCGCGCTGGGATTCTGTTCCTGCTCTCTCCGCGGTAGCTGCTCTACCGCGCTCGCGAACCGGGCAGGGTCGGACGCGAAGCCCTTCTGCAGCGCACGCGCTTCCTCGCTGGACGGTGGGACGCCTTGTTGGGGGCAGCGCGAGCAGCAGGAGGCGCGCCACGCACCCACCGCACAGCCGCAGTCCCCGATGCTGCCGGGGAGGAGGATGCACGTGCCCGGCGCCGGGCACTTGCCTGCCATTGTGCGGAGGGGCGTCCCCACCTCCAACTGTCGCGCCGGGCACGGACGACACTTTCGCCGCGGCACGGCGCCCGCCGGCGGCCGCTCTCAGCCCGACTCGCCGCCCGTGCTCACCGACGGCACGTCGCTCAAGCTCTGCGGACCGCCAGGCGTGGCACCGCTGCTGGGCTGTCGGGTGCATTCGGGCGCCACGTGTGAGCACGACAAACTGCTGCTCGACGATGCCGAAGCACTCGAGCTGTTTGCGCACGCGGCCGACCTCCCTGCCGCTGCACGCCCTGCAGATGTCACTGCAGCTTTGGCCTCATCTCGGCTCACCGCGCTCCGCAAGCCCGGTGGTGGCGTGCGTGGCATCGCCACCGGCGACACTTTCCAGCGTTTCGTGTCGCACAGCCTTGCACGGATGTTCACTCAAAAACTTTTTATTTGCGCTGCAGACCCGTGCGGGCACCGACACACTGTCGGGCATGCTCCCGACCGCTGTCGACTTCGACTCAGCGGCAACCATCGTGTCACTCGACGGCCGCAGATCTTACGATACGATCTCGCGCCGCGTTCCTGCGCAAGCTTCAAGCCGTCGTTCCTGCACTTGTTCCCTTTGTGTGTATGTGGTACAAACAGCCCTCCACTTAGTTTTGGTGCGACGATACAGGCCAGCGTCGTACCATCCGTCAGGGCGAAGGCTGCGCCCCGGCGAATGGCTGGCGGCCTTCTTCGACGATGTGTACCTCGTCACTGCACCCGCGCGAGCACGCGAGTCACTTGACGTCGTTATACCACCTCCATCGAGACACGGGCGGGCGTGGCCGCTAATCTCGGTAAAACTCGGGTTGACAATCGCGCTGGCGGGCCAGCACCTCCTGGCATCGCCGAGCTCGGGGTGGGCGTGTGGCGCGGGGATGCGCACAAGTCCGAGCGTGGGTTCGTCGCGTTAGGCGCTCCCATAGGCCACCCGAGCTTCATCGCCGCCCACACCGTTGCGCGCCTGCTTGAAGAGGGGCGGCTGCTGCATGAGCTCCCCTTGCTGCCCGACCTCCAGTGTGCATGGCTCCTTCTTGCCATGTGTGCCTCGCCTCGCGCAGACCATTTGTTGCGGACCCTCCCGCCCGACCTCTCTGCCAGCTATGCGCGTGGCCACGACGACGCTATATGGCGATGCTTGCTCGCGCTGCTGGGCGAAGAGGACGATGCGGACCCGAGGTCGCCGCTGCACGCCGCCTTGCCTGGGCTGCTTGGGCTGACGCCCCGCCTGTCCTGCGCGCTCGCCGGCCCGACGCCGCAGCCCGCTGCATTGCCGAGCTGGCCCATGGTCCTGCTTCGGCTGCCGCGTGCCTGCGCGCCGCTGAGGAGGCCGGCCGTGTGCTCGACCGCACCAACTGGACCGGCCGCCCATTTTGGAACGACCTGCTCAACAACCTGCGCCCCGCACAATGCGATCTGCCCGAGCCTGGCGAGCGGTGCCAAGGGTGGCAGCATCACGGTTCCCGCGCTTGCTCTACCCAATTCCTGCCAGCCCCTGCCCCTGGCGCAGTCGGGGCCGCATGCAGCCGATTGGCTGAGCGCCACCCCGTGCGAGGCTGGCACCACACTGCCGCCCGACCGCATGGTCATAGCCTTGCGGCGACGGCTGCGGCTGCCTTTGCCAGTCGCCCACAGATATTACAGATGCGGCGAACATGGCCACGGCTGTGGTGGCCTTGTCGATGCATACGGTGACCATGCCGCCTGCCCCCGTACAGGCATTCTCGCCGGCAGAGCCAAGCCCCTGGAGCACGCCTGGGTGCTGTCGGACCTGAGGGCCAGGTCGTCCCGCACCAATGGCTCGCACGCATATCGGCCCCGGACGTCGATCCCGCCGATCGCCGTCGCCTCGACTTTGTAGCCTATATGGGGCTACCCCGCTCGGAGAAGCCTTGTGCTGCGACGTCACGCTCGTGTCCCCGCTGACACGCGACGGGCGCCCTCCGCCTTCCGCCGCGACGCGTGACGGTGCCATGATCGCTGTCGCTGAGCGGCGCAAGCGCGCAGCCTGCGCCCGCCCCATGCGAGCCAGCTGTTGGGCCCTTCGCTGGAGCGGGCACTTGAGCTTGCAGATCATGCAGGGCCGAACTGCTTGCCGCTCGTCCAAAGTGGTGTCAGTCGCTGTGTGATGCCGTGACCCTGATACTTAGTCGGGCAGGAGCAAAAGAGCGTTGAACAAACGGAAACATCATTTGCTTTGCGGCAGCTACCTAAAGCCGGCTTGGCTTTCATCAAGTTGCGGGTCGACAGTGGGCAACAAACGTGCCAAAAGAAAGCGTTCAACGATTTTCCGAAAACAACAAGAAGCTCGATGATAGGACGGTAGTTGTTAGACTCGTGTACGGGCCACTTTTGTGCAAAGGACGCACCCGGTCGGACAATTCCGCATCGACTCAAACAAAGTGAGCATCGCGGCCCGCAGACATTCATGACGACAACTTCGTAAGGGAGGCCATCAACGCCTGCCGCCCCATGCAACGGCTGCAACGGAAGCTCGCTCCCCGCGCCCCCTCCACTGCCGTATCCCACAAGGGCTTCAGGAGCCGTCTTGCAGGGTGTCCCAGTAACACGCGCCCTCGCACAGCACTTCCGCTGGGGGGGTCGCCTGCCCCCTTTTGCCAACAGGAAGCTAAGCAACACTATAGCGACAAATCAGCACCTGTGCCCGGAGCCCTGCCCTTGCGTGCGTCTCCGAGCCCTTGTGTCGGTACAGTTCCCGCATGGTCCTGCCGTGGTTGCATTGCGGTTGTTTCCTGCTCCACCGCAGCTGTTTGAAGACCGGCTGCGAAGTGGGTGGGCGGTGGATCGCTGACGCAGTGAAGCTGGTCCAACGCCTCGTCGCACTCCGTGCGTACCGAGCCCCGCCTGCGTTGCGAGCCTCCGCAAAGACAGCCTGGGCCCGCCGTTGGTGGAGCGTGCTCTCCGTAGCGGTTCAGCAGGCCGTTGGTCACACGGCGTTAGGGCGCGCCCGGGCCATGCCGGGACCGGCACACACCGATGCGCCGGCCCTGGATGAAGTCCTCCACCTGGCCGACCCAGACGGGCCGAGCCGCCTGCCGCTGCGCTGAACCGGCCCTACCTCGGGACCGTGACCGTACTCCACTATGAGCGGGACCTTCCTGCTGACGGAAAAAGGCGCGTAAAAAAAAAAACATTCGGAGCCCCGCCTCATCCGCTATGGCCCCTTTACGCATGTGCCGCTTTCGCAAAAGAAGATGGGTGATATCTGCGTGCACTTCCGCCGCATCCAAGCCATGATGGTGCAATGGCGCGCGCTGCCCCCATGGTACGATGGCGCAACGAGCTGGCGTGGTGCATGCGCTTGAAGTTATGGCAGTTATGGCCCGTGGTGACCTACTTGCTCGGGGACACCGTGAAGGCAGCCGTAGCCGGAGCCGCAGCCCGTGAAGTGCGCCTGGCAACGGTGTCAAGGGCAAGGGCAACGGTGTCAAGGGCAAGGGCAAAGCCAAGAACCAAGGGGACGTGGCAAAGGCACCGGTCCAAACGCCAAGGCCAAGGACTGGGGAGGCAAGGCTGGCGGAAGCCAGCCAGCAGCCCAACGCCGACATGGCCAACCGTGGTGACTTTTCTCAGGTACCACCGCCTTCTGGTTTGGACCCCAAGCTGCCATTTTAGTTGACTATTTCCTTGGACGGCATGGCCCTGTCTTCACTGGCTTCTTTGCTTGCCTGGCCGGCCGGGCTGAGCCGGGCAACCCTTCGAGCTCTAGCTCCTATGTTTCCCAGCCCTCGCCCTGGCCGGTTCCTACGGTGGCCTCCCCTGCACCGGCATCGTCCCGGGCGCCGGCAGCGGCGTTCGCACAGCAAACCGCCTCGGCAAGTTCACAGTGGAGCTTGGTGCCGGGCTACCTTTTCTGCGGCCGACGAGCGAGCAGGCTGTTGCTGCCGCTCGTGTGCAACTTGAGGCCGAGAGCCCCGACGGAATCGTCGAGGGAAGCAGCCAAGCCGAGTCTGGAGCCAGCCGAGTGTGCCCATGTGAATGTCTTCCATGCGGGCACCAACCACCGATTGTGGCACTGGTATTGCAAGGCCGGCAAAGCGAGGCCACAGTTTCGCCTATGGGTTATGGTACGCTCGGGGCTCGCAACATGGAGGGCCCAGACACGGAAGCAGTGAAGGTTTTGGAAATGGCAGGCACAGTCGTGATGCTCCAGGAGAGCGTCATCAACCGCTGCCTCTCGACAAGCTGCCCGGGATAACCCAAGGCCCGGGCCGACCACACAACGACGACCAGATCTCCAGAGCCTCCGGTGCCGCCAGCTGCCGAAAACGACCGGACTGGCACAGGACCATGGGCTCATCGGGGAGACGCAGCTCCAGCCCAGCAAGCACAAGGGCAAGACCGTTCGCTCTGTGTTTGAGGAGTTCCAAGGCTATGTGGAATGGATCCTCAGCCCCGGCGGCAACATTCAAGCGGCCTCCTTGCAAAAGTTTGAGCGGTACATCCGTGCTAAGGAGATGTGTCAGCACCGTGAGCGAGCTAAGGCGAACATGGCTGAGGAGGTCGGACTTCCCTGCGAGCGTGTTTTGATTGACGTGCTCGACACTGGCTGCAATCAAACCTGCCGCGGTGCTCTCTGAATGCCAGACTACTTACAGGTTATGAGCCGAACGGCATCGGCGGCACATCGCGTTGCGATTTTTTGTTTACGTCCAAGAAAGCGCTCTCGTCGGCAGCTACTACATCAGTTCCCGTGTCTGTAGCTCGCGCCACTTGGACGGTATTGTCGGATGTCACAAATGCGCCAAAACATGCACTGCGTCAGCACAAGCACAAGAAGAACTGTAGGCAGCAGTATCAATACCAGTATCAGCAGAAATTTCAGTAGAAGTTTAAGAACATGTAGAAGTATATTCTGAGCACATGTGTGTTGGCTGTGCTGGATATCCGCCCACATGGCCGACAACGAGAGCAAATCTGAAATCAAACTTTTTGTTGCAGCAACTTCTCATGCCAGGTGCAGTGGTCGATGGCAGTGTGGACCAGGCAGAACAAGCAAGTGTTTCGTTTCCAATTCCCGTCTCTGTGTGGCTGTGGAGGCATCTGAAGCTGCAGACGGCCCCGAAACGACGGGGCCAGGCAGAAAGCTCATCACATGAAGATTTTGCCACGTGGGCTGCAAGTCGGTCAGTGGGAGGCTTGTTGGCAGCTGTTCGAGCGGCAGAGTCTATCATGAAAGGAGTGCTGATCATGAACTGATGGCTGCTTGTTCCATATCGAGTGTCGCGTGTTTGTTTTCATTTTGTGCTGTATCAGGAGACCAGGGGCGCGCTGAACCAGGGAAGAACTGACACGGGTCAATTTTATTTTGCCAGGGTCATGTCCACATGTGACTCGACCCGGTTGGCGGTGCCACATTGAAGCCCGTCACAGTCACAGGACGTTTTGTTAGTATCTACATTGCGGTCATACTCATGAGCTATTTCCTTGAAGCAGTCATGTATGGGGTCGAAGCATCCAGACCATAACATACCAGCGTCCAGTAGAATGCACAGCATGCTGCAAGCACGGCTATTCCGGCAAAAAGAGATGCATCAACACTGGGAGCTTTCTGCAGTTTTCAACTGCCCCCTGTATATTTCGTGAGCTTGCAGTTCGAAGTAGTTCGAACAATGCTACTTCCGTGTCGTTGGTTTCAGGCATGGCTTGCATTCTCAAAAAGCATGTGCAAATGTGATCATTCTGTGTGCATGAGAGCGTTAGGCATACATTATCCATGGCCAAGTGTATCAACAGGACTCTAGGAGCACATCCAAACATCTCGGCAGCATCCGTAACTGGAGCCATGCCGCGAGGACGCCGAAAGGCATGCAAGGCACCAGTGTGACAGTGCAAGAGATTATCGGCCCAAGTGCATGCGCTGATCGTACCCTAAACCCTGAACATCCCTAAATCCGCAGGCAGTGAAGAAGAAGTTCCATGCCTTGGACCGGAGCGGGGATGGCAAGCTCGATTTCGAAGAGCTGCCAGCGGCTAAGATGTGGTTGTTTGCGCATATACGTACATGTACATGTACATGTACATGTACATGTACAATTACATGTAGATGTAGACGTATACGTATACGTCTATGTCTATGCATATGTGCATGTGTATGTGTATGTGTCTGTGTATGTGCATGTGTGTGTGCGCATGTGAATGTGCATGCACATGACTATGTACATGTATCTGTATATGTTAAAGTGTATATGTAAATATGCATACATATATACACATACCTGCACCTGCACACGCTCCATTCAAAGCGAAGTCACATCACAGCAAGATCCCATTGTCACCGCACTTGCTATATTCAGCAGCCGCAACATTGATGTCCACAAGAGTACGGATGTGAGTTCGGCCAGTGTGATACAACCCCAACCATTCGCTAGGTCTACGAACGTATGGTACGAGTTGCTGCCCATGGATGTAAGTCGTACCCTTCCACAGTTAATACAATGGCTGCTTTTCATCGGCATCAGGCAGTTTTCTTTTTGGAGTTTTGTATCTGGCATAAGCAGATTCAATACCGAACTGTCAATTTCAGGTTCTGACTACTTAAATATTTTGCCCTGAAAGTATGGACTATATGATCTAAAGGCTATAAACACCTCTTGTCGAGCCGTACGCAAGTCCTTATAGTCTAGGTTGGTCTTTGCCATTTGTCAGAACAGACTCGCTGAAACATTGCGACCCCTGCAGCCACATATGCCTTCCACAAATCCGGACCATGTTGGCCTTGGCATCTGTGTGCTTCTTTGCGTAGTCCTAGCCTGAACTTCCATATCCCGTTATCTTGACTACGTTGCAGGTATCTATCCAGACAAACCACAACTCTCCTTATCGGAATCTCACCATGAACAAACAACTCAATCATAAGCACATGGATGCTTAGTTTCCAAACACAATCGTGGAGAAGGAGCCTGCTCCGCTAGCAAGCTCGCATGCCCAGTGTTTCTCACATGGTGGCTGGCCTACATGTCCGTCATTTGTTAATGTCCGTTTTCAGGAGTACGCATTCATGCTGGAGGAAGTGAGCATGCAATTTCCTTTGCGCAAGTTTGAGAAGCACATGTTTCACATGAACGTTGCGTGGTTTCATTGCATGAGTGTTGTTTTGTGATGCTAACGTTTGTCTTGCATCAATCCGGAGAACGGAACCGAGGTAAGCTTCAGCACCATCAGAGCATCATGTTGCCGGCTTCAAACGGACGGGTGTTGACAACCAGTTCACAAGTCTCGCCGATGTGTGCGATCACCCGTGCTGTATGTTGGTTGTCATCGTTGTGTCGCCCTTGAAGCTGAAGAGTCAACCCCACTGAACTTGCAGACTTCGCGATTTGTGTGCAACACGTTGTTGCTACAGCAGAGCAAACATCTAATGCAGGCCATTGCAGAGGTAGCTACAGTTGTGATCCTAGGTCCGTTCTGCTACGGAGCGGGGACCGGCATATGAAGGACAGTCTCCTTTGCGACTTGTGCCGCCTACGTGACATCAGACATGAGGGCATTTCGGCAGCCTTTCTCACCACGATGTGCCCGGGTGGTTGTAGCAGCCAGGATGCAGAGATTCGTCGACTGTTCGGAAAAATCGCGGCAGGCTCAGCACGCCCCATGAGTCAGGATGGGCCAGGTAGGTGCATCAAAACTTCATGCGGGCCCGTGCTCGGAAAGTCGTAAGGATCAGAACAATGATGGGAGGATCGACTTTGCAGAGCACCGAAGCCCAGAATATCCATCGCGTGTGCACGCCAGGAGCATTTGAGCAGTCTTGAGTCACTTGTCGCGAATCAAGACGACATTGGCAGCATGTTGTTACACGAAGGTTCTGTGATTACATCTTCGAGCTGGAAGATGATGCGCCCTGCCCTGGGCAATCCGTGTTGCCCCATGTTCATCTAACGACAGAATCATCAGCCACAGTCGGCAAACAAGTGTCGAAGCATCTCGAGCCCTTGCGTTTGTCCAAGGAAGCGAGCCCCGCCTGAAGTCGAGGCTCGCCCGTGTCTGCTTTGGTGGGACTTGGGCAGCGCCTACACAGTTATTCTCACGTAGGTTGAGAGGCGAAGGAAGGCAAGGAAGACGCAAGACGCAACTGACCTCGCGGCTGCAGGGCCGCGAGGCCGTAACGGCTTTGCCAGGCGACCTTCGATGTGTTCAGCGGTTTCAATGACATGATGACCATGTCCGAGTCGGGCCCCGGATTTTGATGAAGTGCCCCTCCTGCAGACCCGAGTCAGTCCACACTGCTGTTCTTGAGGTTCGCAAAGCTGTGCAAGGACCCGGTGGACAGTTGTTGCTACATTCAGGGTCAAGCGAGACTCCGGAGCATTAGGATGCCCACAAAGGCCGGAGGTTGCCATTGTTTTTGGGAGAACATCACTGCAGTCGTTGGGTGACAGCCAGTCGCCCAACGTTTAAGGCGAAATTCTGTAACCGACCCTGACATGTGCTAGTCTTGTTCAAGGAGAGAGGCCCGCAACACAAACATGAAAGCCTCAGCAGTAACGGAGTCTCTCCCGTGTTTTCCGGGCTGCTGCAGGGTGTTTTTGCCAAAATGTCGGTGTTGTTTAGTGGGTTCAAATCTTCCGTGTTCCCTACATGGGTGGCAGTTTTGCACAAACCTTGCTGCTGTGCCTATCTTGAGGGCTGGAAGTCGAAAAAGCACATGATGGAGGACTGCTGCTTGCACAATGCGGCCTTCAAGCCAAGCGATGCCGCCATCTTATTCTCCAAGGCCAGGGCGGAAGCCAGGCAACCTGTTGAGGTTGTAGCTATGGTGCACTTGCCTACAAGCCCACAAGGCTCCCCCAAATCCCGCCGTCGACCGCCACGACAGCGATGTGACGCTGATGACGATGATGTCCTGCCAACTGCAACCACCATGAATAAAGGTTGTCATGTTGTTGGGCTTGCGCTGCTGAAGAATACCAAGCACTGCAAGACACAACCATGCACCGAGTGACATCCAATTGATGCTGTAGAGTTGTAGAGCAGCAGGACAGAGGAAACCTCGGCAGTTGGGGAGGTATCGAGGCTGAAGTACCTGACAGGATTGGGCCTGTGCGTGGAACTTTTAATCCACAAAGCCTGACCCGGACCATCAGCGATCACTTGTAGGGCGTACATGTCTGGGTAAATATTCAGCTGGCTGTGTTATTCTTCACGTGGCCAGACAGGTTCCTCTTCTTTCTTCATCCACCGTCCCCGGCCGCCAGCCCCGGAAGCCGCTTTCGGCTTACTGAGACTATGTGCATAGGAGGTGAGCCGTTTGGAAAAGGAGGGGCGTGAAGACAAGCCTTCCATAAAGTCGCTACTGTACTAAATGCTCGGCTCTCTTCGTAGAAAAACGCTCGCAGGTTTCTGCCTTGGTCTCATGTTGTTTTAGGACGAAGCCTAAGGCCTAAGCCACGTGCCCTGTAACATCCATGGGACGGCGGTGAAAGTGTTCCGTTGGCTGCCCCCCTTTCGGCGACGATGTCGCGATGCTGCGGGGCTGGCAAGCTTCCGAGAGCTCACGACTGCAGAAGTGCGGGCGTTACCTGCTGTTCGCCTGTTTTCTGACTTTGGCAACGTTTGCCGTCGCATCCTTTTCGGCCTTCCACTGGGCTGATCCGCACTTCGTCAGCCTTTCCGCGGTGTTGCAGGCTGGAATCTACGGCGAAGCCGTAGGTGATTCGAACGACTCCGAGTCCTCAGAGGAGGAGGGCCCGGAGGAGGCCGAAGCAGAAGAGGGCTCGGAGGAGGCAGAGGCAGAGGCTCCCGTCCAGACGCCAAACGCTTCAAACACGATTCCCGTGGAGAAGGCAAAGCTTATTTTCGTGAATTGTGTGGAGGATGGAAAGCCGGTGAAGAAGAGAGGCTTGCAAGGTAAAGTCTTGATGTGCCAGCATCAGTGCAATTTGACAGTGAACAAGAAGGATTTCGCTCGAGCTGATGCAGTTGTCTTCAACCCTTTGTGGATGACTCCCTTGAAGAGCCCGCCGAGGACAAAGCTTCCAGGCCAGATTTGGGCATACAGCTTCCATTTCGAGTCTGCTTCCCAGCACACCTTCGCGCGCAAAGCCACGCAGGCCTTGTCAGGCAAAGTGGACCTGACCATGACATACAAGGGCAAGTCCGACATCTTCCGGCCTTACTACAGGTTTAGGAGCCTGGAGCCGGAGGAGCGGCCAGATCCCAAGAAGGACTATGCGCAGGGGAAGCAGCACCTCCTTCTGTGGTTCGTGTCGAACTGTGGAGCCAAAGGTCGCATGAGCCTCTTCAAAGGACTCCAGAAGATTTTGGGCCCAGAGAAAGTTCACATGTTTGGAGCCTGCGGTCGCTCTGCCGGCTGCAGCTCTGCCCATAGCGGGGATCCCTGCAACATCCGCCTCATGTCCAAGTACAAGTTCTATGCGGCCTTCGAGAGCTTCGGATCAGATCGGATCACGTCGAGTCGGCAGCCCCAGCCCCGTTTTGTCCGAAGCTGTTCCTCGCAGCTGAGGAATACCCGCTGTGAAGGCTACATCACCGAGAAGTTCTTCCGTGGCCTCGGAAGCAGGACTCCCATGGTGCTCGGGCAGAAATCGGTTGACAAAGTCGCCACAGGCTCTGACAGAAACGGGCGTAATTTACAGCATCAAATAAATCGATTGGAGATCCGTGCAGAGCTGAGGTACCCCTTGCTCTGGGGGGGTTGGGGAGGAAAGACTACGAGTTCTTGGCACCGCCGGACTCCTTCCTCCATGTTGCCCGGCGGTATGTCGTGGCACTTGGCAGGCTTTTGAGGGTGCGCTTCGTTATATTCTGCCGCATCCCGTCTCTGTTATCATGTAGCTTTGAGGCTTCAGGTTTCGATTCAAGAAGAACCCCCGAGTCCTGAAGTGCGCGCACGCTGACTGCTGCTCGGCAGGTTGATGACTTTTCATCTCTGGAGGAGTTGGCGCAGACCTTGCTGGAAATTGATGCCGACGACACGAGGTACAACCGCTTCCTGCCCACAAATCGGCTGCAGCTACTTCGAAGAGTGTCTGAGGCTTATGACCTGTTGGACATGTGTTTCTGAGCCTAGGATTCCACGCCTGGCGGCAGAAGCAGAAAGTCACGACCCAGACGGCCTGCGACCCGGACACGGGGCTTTTTGAACCCAGCGGGACAACTTCTTGCAACCTCACCTACTTCAAGCCGGGAAAGTCAGAAGTCGATCGGAAACGACAGCTTCTGAAAGTCATGAGGTACTTGGTTTGTGTTTTTGAGATTATGGAGTTCGATTGTGCGATTCAGATGGAATTTTGCTTCTTCGTGCTGGTTCCGTGCTTGCGTGGGGTTTTGTAGGGTTCGGGGTCAGGGTGACCTCAGTCCGTGTTGACGCATAATTGCCATGGTTCACATAGCCGTACTCTCGCCCATTATACGCTGACATGAATTCATGCATTGCGCATGCCTGAGCATTGGCCCGGTAGCGGAAGGCCAGGTGTCGAAACGGATCCGATCCGTCGGCCAAAGTATTCACACGCTCGACTCGTAAGGACAGAGGGTTGCCTGCACGCACAGTGGCTTCGGATGACCTGAAGCAGAAGTTACGGCCAGGGCTAGCAGACCATGCAGATTGAAGCACCCAGGCGAACTACCGCATCGCCTACTGCGACTTGTGCGTGTCTCTGCCAAAGGTAGCGAAGGTTATGTGTGGTTACGCTTCGGAGCCTGTGGCTTTGAGTGGTGTGGTATTCTCGGGGTTTACGTTGCCCAGCAGATGGGTCAGGCTGCTATCACAGGTTGCCAGGCGGCACGTACATGGGTCATGTGTTGCGTTTCGTTGACTCGAATCCTGGCGTGGAGGTTCATCATAATAGAATATCTGGAATTTGCGAACGCTGGCTCTGCCAGGCCTCCCTCATGAACCCCTCGGAAGGTGTGTTGCTTCAGGGTGTCTTGGTCCAGCTTGTGACTTCATGTCGTGGCCTGTACTGAGTCTGAGGAACGTCTGCACAGCGGCCAGCAGCTGCACCCCAGGCCTTTGCTGCGTGCCATCGCCCTCGAGTGTTTTGGTTAGGATTGGGCAAGAGCACTCTGGATGAAGAAGCCAGTCTTCATGCAAACTTAGGTGGTTATGCAGGTTGATTTGTTTCCCGACGATTTGTCACGGAGTTTGGTTTTGATGGTAGTGGAAGCTTTCCCCAAACAGAAGACTGCTAGTGTTGGGGCAAGGAGCATTTGGAAGGTTCTCGGGGAAGAGTCTAAACGTCATCCCGAAAGCAAAGCTACTAGGTGCTCCGGTGTGCCGGCAGCAAGGATTCGTACACCCATGTGTTCCGCACGACTGTATATTCCCAACTCTAGTAGCAGTGGCGATCAAGCATATATGCTTTCTGCTCACGCCTCTATTGATGACCGTCATTGATTGCGCTCTTTTCCTCTCATCACCACCATCCCCACCATCACCATCATCACCATCATCAAAATCATCACATCATCCTTACTGTCATCACCGGCTGGGGCTGGCAGCTTCACTGCCACCACCTTCGATACTACTACGAATTATGGCCAGCACCACATCATCATCACAACCGTCCTAACCACCACGGCCGCCATCATCACTGCCATCACCCTAAATCAGCTTTTGCATTTACGATCTTAATGCTCGCCTTCACCGATGCGCAGCTTCTCGGCAGGTCATACGGCGGGAGTCTGGAAAAGTGGATGTTCGACGGCTGTTTGAGTGACGGCCCTCGTTGGAAAGCCTGAGAACCTCATCTTCGCGATACTGTGCAACAGCCATCCAGACACCAGGCCCTCACATGCAGAAACCTCAAGACATCATTTTAGAGACTATGCCAAGCTCCCCGGAGTGACCTTCATGACTGGGGTCGGTGGTGAGGGCCCAGGGTCTTGCCTGCCAGAGGAGCAATCGAAGAGAATTTACTTCAGTGATCCAAAGCGATCCTGACAAAAACAGGCATTCCGAACGTGAGACGAAAACGCTTCGTCACGGCCGTAGCTGCGCAGCTGCTGCAGCTCTGAGAAAAGTCGGCAAAAAGACAGGAGCAACCCGGCGTAGTAACGTCTTTGCCTGCGCGTTCTTCGCTTAGAAAGAGCAGGTTTGTGGCACGCATCTGCCAAAAGAATGGAGACACATGCCCCATCTGCAGGTGAAGCCAAGGGGGAAGCGCGAGTTAGGCGCGCCGCTGGTCGGACGCAGTGCCATTCCGTTTCTTCTTTCTCAACGATGCCAGAGCCCGTCGTGCCTAGTGGCCTGTCGATGCATACTCTGCCAGGAGGCACTCAAGAAAATGCTCCAAGCAGCTCCAACCTACTTAGCCACGCATCATGCTGCAGAAGCCATTTTGTAGATTCCATTGACCTTTCTGACTCCAAGCTTCAGATCTACTCTTTCAGTCTCGCAGTGGTGGCTGCTTCTCTCCTTAGGGTTTTCTGCAGTATTCTGCAGTGTAGTCGTTAGGCCAACAGGAGCAGGGCCCGTGCCATTGAAGTACTGCTAGCAAGCTCGAAAATAAAGAAGAGCAGTAGCCTGCTGCATGTCCGGCAGCCATGGAAGCTGCGATCGAGGGCGCCGGGATGCTTGACCAGACTGTTTTGTTTGCTTCCAGCACTACGGACAGAGGAGAAGGTTACTGACGCAGCAATGCTTCCGGTGGGGGGTCTGGGGGGGGGTCTAGGGGTCTAGGAGACCAGGGCCAGATGCCTCCATGGCCCGGCAAGTCCCAGGAAGACGCAGGAGAAGAAGAAGAAGGGCCCCCGAGAGTTCGACTGGACCAAAGCGACCTTTGGCCACTATGCCTGGGCCTGAGCTGATGCGTATGTAGGCAGATGCGAGTTCTTGCTCCTAGCTGTCCTTTGGCTTACAACCCAATGGTTGCAAGACTTTGGGCCATAAAGCTATCCGAGCTTCTTGGGCAAGGTCTTGAAGCTGGCCTACGTGGGCACCAACTACCATGGCTTAGCATGGCAGGTGGCTCGCGTTTCTCTAAGGTTCCCCTACTTGGGCGAGTTCTTGATAGGGTGTCAGCTGAGGACAATACGGGCATTGAAGCTCGTGACTAGTGACTAATGCTGACCCGTCCAAGCATCGACTCGCCGTTCGAACCAGAGAGCTGTCTGAATTTGGTATTCCAGCCCACAGACATCGCGGCCGCAAGGCTAAACCGGAAGCACGCGTACGGATGCATAATAACATTGGAAGTGCCCGCCAACATCAAGCTTGCACGCATCGGGGTGTTGCTGACATGGTGTTCGCAGTTTTTCATGCAGAAGTACCGGTCTGTTGAAGTCGGTTTTAAGTTTGTTTGTCTCGTCAAGTGCTTCGTTGCCTTACTGTTGCTGTTGCAGTTTTGGCCCGCTGTTTCTGCTGCCAAGACGACTGCTTTTTCCCTTGCTATACTGAACCCGTTGCTGTGGTTTTGGCAGGACCCGGAGGATTGTCGTCATGGTCACAGTTGCTCATTTCATGGTCTTGATGGTGGTTTCGCCTACAGGTTTCCCTCTTCAGAACGGATGGCTCTGCAAAAAACGGAAGTCTGTGGACCGAAAGCTCAGGAACCACGTACTTGCCCAACCGTCGAGGCGGCCCTCTTCGAGGCCCTGTAGCCCGTCCGCAGTAGCGTTTCGGCTGCGTCCTGTAGACACCTCTGCCAGGGATCTTCTGCTTCAAGACGTGTGTATCAATCATCGGATGAAGTTTTTGGTGGTGCCCAGAATTTCGCTGTCATGGAATGACATAGGCCACGGCAATGGCAGGCCATGGCATGCTACGTAAGCTGGCGAGAAACCTTCTCGCAGAGTGCAGTAGGATCCCTCGACTTCCGACGGATGCGGGGTTTCAAGACGATGGCTCAGTCTTCTCGGAAGAGCAAAGGCAGAAGACGCGCCTCATCCAGGAGCGGGATTGGTCGCTTTGTCTGCTGCACGGTGCTCTCAGCGACTGCGAATGAGGCCTCTGAGTTCAAGCCACGCCAGCCTCGGAACAAGCTTGCTCCATTAGGACCGGCAGAGTTGCAACTTCTCCCGCTGCGGGCGCACTGACAAGGCAGAAAGGGCTATGGTGACGCTTGATGACTTGGGGTTGGTTCGAGAAGGTTGAAGTTCGGCACGTTGCGGGGAAGTTGGGTTTCCGTGTCTGCAAGCGGTGCAGCAGCAGTCGCCAGGGGGTGCATGCCGCCGGTAACTACATCTCCTTGACTCTGCGGCTAAAGCCCGCCTCTGAATCTGGAACGGCCGCCTCGCCGCATCCAGCATGCAGCAAGTCAGAGTTTAGTTCGGACTTTACGTGGCATGCTTCTCCTTCCCAGGAAGCGTTTGACTACCCCAGCATACTAAACGGCGTGCTGCCGTCCGACATCAGGAAATTCGGGGCTTGCAATGGAGGGTGGCAGCTCCTGATTTCCACCCATGATGAATTAAGTCCTCCTGCATCAACCCTAAACCCTAAAACCACACACCCTAAACTGTAGGGTGGTGGCTTTAGCCCTAAACTTCAAAAGTTGTTTCTCGCACCGAAGATTCCCAGGGTCTCTTTTTCCACAAGCCGCCGGATCAAGAGGATCTTGGCCGCGGCGCCCGCGCCGAGTGGCTTCGATGCTCGCTTCAGCTGCTTGTTCCGGGCGTACCAGCGAAGTGGCCAGCATTGGCCAGGTGTAAAGATTGGGGAGTGGGGCCGGAGACTGTAGCAGGAGAGTTTTTTCCGGCGAATTTGAGTGTACAGCCTTCTTAGAAGAGTGTCGGATCACTGGGGTGAGTCAAGTCCTGCTCGACAGAGTTAGCCTTGCTTGAAGCTTGACGAAATGCAGCGGTCCCTCAGACTCCTTGCAGTTCATAGATCGTGATTTCAGATTTTTCGGGCTATGCCTGAAGTTGTTCAGGAGGACTGTGACGGCCAGAGTGGAGTTTGCTTTGTGCAAGACTACAGCCACGGGATATTCCAAGGCTTTCATTGGTGGCAGATGTTGCCGTTCTGTGAATGTTTGAATACGGCTGTGGCCAGCTGGGAAGCGGGAGCGGTTTTCGGATCCGAAACCCGACTTCCAGCCTTATGACCCCACGGCGATTGATCGGAGTCTTTTCGCGCCTGGGATCATCTCAGTTCCCGAGGTATTACTTTCCACATGCTGGGGAAGACCTCCAGAAAATGAGTGAAGCAGCTGCCTACTTCGTGGGCGAGCACGATTTTCGAAACTTCTGCCACGTGGGTGCAAAGAGATCAACCATGACAGAGGCGTCAAGACACTTGGCAAGAGCTGAATGCAAGGAATCCGGCTTTCAGCCAACCCGCTCGACCTGTAAGGCAAGATGGACGTCGAGAACATTACGAACTACCGTCGGCGTGTGCTGTCGGTGTCTGTGCGGCCAATGAGCGATGGTGTGGCCGAGTTCGCAGTGACTGGCGTCGCATTCCTTTGGCATCAGGCGGCTTTTGGTGGGTTTCGGTCTGCTCAGCCTGGCAAGGACCCGGACCCTCTTCACGCACAGACAACTTCGAAGCCCGAAGTCTGAAGCCCGAAGCCCAACACTTCCCGGACCGAAGCGCTCCGGAGGTTCGCTGTATGGCGGCCGTGCTTCTCCTTGTGGGCCAAGGCCAGCCAGTCTTGCGGGCCGTCGCAGTGCCACGAAGCGTGAGAAAGCTTCGCTTAAGCAGGCTGCAAGCACGGTAACGTGTGCATTTGGACTTTTTGTTGACCACGATGTTTGGAGTTTTTCCACCATGGAGGATCCAGCAAACTGGCTTAGTGTGAAAACGGCCGGCACCGCCTTTATGCCCCATTTAGTTATGCATTTACTGTACCGTCGCCCTTCTCTTTGTGAGAACGGGAGTTGGGATGTTTCAGCAGGCAAGCGTGCCTAGGACTTTCTCACGGTCCCTCGTCTGCATGCTTTTGAAAAGCCACGTCTGCAAGGCCTAGAGCAGCCCAGCGTCGTCCAGGAGCTGCTGGACGTGGAGCGCTACCCGCGCAAGCCACTGCCGCTCTGCTGCAACGCACCCTGCGAGACCGCCCCATGCCGACTTTGAACCGTGACTCGCAAACCATAGCCTCCAGCAGCCTCCTGCGAGACAAGCTTGGAGCCTTGGATCCTTGCAGCCTGTGCAAGCCAAAATTCAGCTATGGAGAACTGGCAAGAAGTCAACCCCTCAAAAGGTCTAACGGCGTTAAGCTGCACTCGAGCCGCGGCGCACAGATCAGCAGCTGTGACTGCGCTAGGTACGAGCCGGCTGATGAGTCTGGATTGGTGACCCGGCTGCAGGTCGCGAAGTCTTCGGGGAGACAAGTTCGCTTGTAGCAGATGGAGAGCTGCCGGCCGCCGGCCGCTGCGTGTTGTGTTTAGAAGTGTATGGGCTGGTGGTGCTGTAGACATCTGGCTTTCCATGGCTATGGCAAGAGATCCCGATCTCAGGTGCTTCGCGACTGTGGTTTCGAGGGTGTCGACTTTGCGCCCAGTTCGCACAAGCCAGCAGGCGCATTCTGCCCAATCCTCTGCCGTTGGTTGGATTGTCTTTGTGCCAAGGATGGTGGTGTCGTTAACGCTTTTAGCCTTTTGAGCCCTGCAAAACATAGTCATAGTTTGGCGAAAGTGTCTCGGGCATAAGCAGATGCCACGCGAAGAGTTGGTGGCGAGAATGATGATGAGTTGCCATCCGACGTCTGCACTGAGTGAGAAAGCAGGAGCAGTGCTCAGTGTTTGTTCCATTTTGGAGGTCAATGTTCAGGCAATTTCACAAGTCCTGATGCAAGAAACAGTTGCTATTTGCAATGCGGCAAGTGCAGACCCACAGCCGCGTGTCTGAAGGAGAATCGGGACTTCCAACCCCCTCCAGCGCTGCAGCCCCGTGGCTCATTGCTTCTTTAGTGGTGGTCTAAATGTTGTTGGAGCTCCCGTTCTTGTCCTTATCTGACCCTGATCGACTGTCACTGCCTAAGTCGTGGCCTGGAACCAGGACACTTTCCGGAACCTTCGGGACAGGCAGCTGCGAGCCTCGGCAGTCGCCAGCTGCCTGTTGGCCGCCTGCGGTGGAGAACCGCCCAATGCAGAGCGTGAGGGCAAGCGCAAGCATGTGCCGCTGCTGCAGCCTCTCGGGCACAACATTACAGGGGCTTATCGCACGGAGGGAGAGAGAGAGAGAGAGAGAGATGCACATATGTTTATCTATGTATGCCTGCATGCGTGCATGTATGTATGTCCGCATTTGTATATGGATGGATGGACCGCGATGTCTCGATTTCCGCATATACACTCCTCACTTTAACATCGCCTCCTTTGGGGACATCAGCCAATGATGCTTGCAGGCTACCGGGATGTTGGTGGTGCAACCTGGTTGTTTCCGGGCTTGTTGGAGGCTTTTAACTGGCTGCGGGATTTTTGCGCTCATGACCTCCGGTGAGCCTGATTTCCTCCGGTTGTTCCGGCCGAGGCGGCCCGGTTGCCCTACGCTGCAGGAGAAGCAGCAGGCCACCAGGGGCCAAGCAGCTAAATTCTGCGGCATACAAACCTTTCGATACAAAGCAGGCGGATCTTCTGGATGCGAGTCGATCTGAGGAGCATGCAGCAGGCGAAAGGTCATTTCCTCGAAAGTTGATGGACTTTGGGATACAGCCCCAAACGGTGATACGACAGGGTCCCGATGTTGAGCCATCATCAGGCGCTCGAAGCCCGGCGGCACCGGCGGAAGCTCACGGAGGGTGAGGAGGCGTCAAAGCTGGTGGTCGGGGTTAGGGGATCTAGGCCTTTTCAGGTTCAGAGCGTAATGTTTGCAGAGGATCCCCCACTTTTTGAATGCATATGTCGTACGGTGGAGCTTCGCGCTTCGTGCCTCATAGTAGCATGCTTACTTGAGACTTTATCGTGAACCTGCATCTCAAACTACTATGGTATCTGCAGCTGCCCATGATTTAAATGGTTCCAGACATCATGACATAACCGTCATTAATGTTTGACTGCGCTACAACAGAAGACGGTTGCACTGCCGTCACTATATCTCAATATTGACCAATTTTACAAGACCAGGTCCGTCTAGCAAAGACACTGCTGAAGCAAAGTTGTTCGCATAAGCTGCTAAACACGAATTCATAGTCTCACGTTCGGCCTGACGTTTCCTTTAGCTGGATAGCTTGTCGGCTTCCACGATAGTTTGTCACGGTGGGAGCAGGCACACGAAGGGGTTGCAAGACTGTGGGAGGCGTGGGCATTTTTCGTTTAATGCGGGCCCCTTATGAATGCGCCACTGCTGCTAACAGCAAAGATTTCGTGATTTGCTCACCACCGCCGCCACCACCACTACCAACCACAACCGCAACCACCACCACCACCACCACCACCACCACCACCACCACCACCA